TGGCCGGTTGCTCGAACAGTTTCACGTGAAACTGGAACCGTCGGACGATACGGCTTGATACGCTACCTGCACACGACTTTATGCGCTCAGCCCGCCAGGTATCTCCTCCTCGCGTGCCTTCCTTTTCCTTTCTCTCCGCTTCTTCCATCGTTCATCGATTCCTCGAGCACCGCGGCGTTTACTCGGACCGCAAAAACCTCGCCAATTGGACGTTTGATCGTTCGAACCACTTTTGGTCCGTTGCTTGAGGTTTGATTGATCGGAAAACGCGCGGCAACTCGCGGCAAGACACTTGGAAAGTTTCGTTTCTCGATCCACCGGGTGGGTCCTGCATTTTCATCGCACTTGGCACGAAAAATTCGTTGTTTCGGGTTATCGCTACGCTCGTAGAAAGATTGAATAATATTTGGAGCGCAGAAATTGACGACGATCGCGATACGAGGGCCTCGCAACGAGCCAAGGTGTCGATTCAGTTTGTCGCAAAGCGATCAAGGTCCTTCTTATCCTACCGAGAGGCCGCGATAAGATAAGCTCGGTGACGCCGTTCGACTTCCGACTGCATGCTCAGTCTCTCTTTTCCTCTTGTTATTTCTCCATCTGTTTCGTCAACTTTTGCCCTAATTTATTGTAAACGCTTATTTTTCACGATATTCCTTTCTACCATCTTTCGAGGGTGTTTGAACGAAACGTTTCGACGAATCGTGCGAATGTACCAGCGTGGAACGCTTTATGTTAATGAACCCTGGCGATTACCCAGACGGGGCCAGCGAACAGGGAGATGATGTCGAGCCGATAGAGACGTCCAGACCGGATACAAGGAAGGTCGAAGGAGAAGAACCGGATAATCGTCACCGTGCTAGCCTGTGCACCGGCTTTTCTCTTATCGGCTCTGACCCTACCAGTCCGGTCGAAGCGTTCTCCAGACGAGGAAGGAAGTCGCGTTTTGCCAGCGTACACCTGCGTCAAAGAGGCGCCTCCCACCTGCGGGCCACCTGAACTTACCGATAGAAACCCAGTCCGCGAGACTTTCAGAATGCACCTGACTCTCGCGAACCGTGCTCCTTTTTCGCCTGTCCACCGCGATAATTGGACGATAATACACTGATCGATCGTCACTCCCAAAAATGGAGCTACTACTTTGAAATTCATCGATGGCCCCGGCGAAAGTTTCCAACAACCGTTATCCTCGACGCGATAGCCAAGCGAACTGGAGTAACTGCTCTGGATATCATTTCGGAACGAAAGTTGAAAATAATCGTAAGGTTGGAAGCGAGAACCACATTGTTAAAAATTCAAGAGGGTATAACTCGTCGCGCTGAACGTGAACGCTTTCATTGAAAATTGATTAACGTCAATGTTAACGAGACAAATCGGTGTTTAACGAGAGAACAATTCAGCGGTAGCCAGGTTTCGAGACACGTTCGACCGCGCAACGGTCACCAGAAAGATCCTGGTCGAGCTATGATAACGGATTCTTCGGGTATACTGTTACTACGCCCGAGAGAGCGTACTAGCGAGAGATTGCTGAACGATTGGCACGGAACGAGAAGTATTAGGCTGTAAAAGAACCGTCTGAATCCGGTTGCGGCGAAAAATTTCAAACCTTCCTAACCGTCCATATCGCGTTCTTTTCTTATTATTCAAGAACCACGGCGCCTCCGTGGAATTTTCCCGCCCAAAAGTGGTTCGTTCGAGTAAGTATCGCAGTTTGAGAATCCTCGAAGTCTCAGCGAAGTAGACAGAAAGCAAACGTCGCGTTTCGCACGGAAATTTCTTCGACCACGCGATACGCTTTCTTCAGGGTGGTCGCGTGACCCTTTTCTCAAAAGAAAGCACCGCCACACCGTTCGGTAAGCTCTTGCACGATCGCACGACCGGTGCTTTGCGTGATAAAAAGTTGTTACGCTCGATGTAATGGTGGATTACTTATTTATATCGGGGGGCTTGATCCCCCTAATCGTGCTAAGATTGATCTGAAACGTTGTCGTCGAACGGTAAGAGGGTTGTCGCGACCGCGTCCAATGTAAATTCGTCACAATACGAGCCTATTTTTCTCCCCCCCTCCCTCCATTTAGTATTGCACAGCTTGTACTTGATGAAAAAGCTTGAAGAAATCCGTGAAGGCTAAATTGCCGGCTACGTCAAACTTACGACAGAGGGAACAGACTTTACACCAGCCGTGAAAATGAGAGGTTACACGCGGATCTATGTAGATTTGCATAAATAAGCAAGCGAAGTTTACCGTTTTCCATTTCGAACACGCACATCGTTCGGGATAAAAGCTTTGTCTGTAAGCGACCACGTGAAATGTCCACGCGACCCTTTCGCGTAACAAAGTAAAAAGATCCGTCATTTAAGTCATGCCTATTAAATCGCACACTTTCTTGTTCAAAACCTTGCTACGACACGCGATCGACTGATTTTAACCGATAAGCATTAACCCACCGACGAACCGTAAGCGTACTGATACGCCAAATGATTTATCAGCCATTTTCGTCGAGCGGACGCGTAACGAGGTTAATCGTCAGTGGGTCAAAGCGAAGAATAAGAAGGTGGCGATGATGTTTTTACCTGAAGTAGTGCGATCCAAATGGCGAGCAATAAAAAGGGTCGTTGTGCATATGCGGTTGTCCGGGTACACCGGGTCCTTGGGGATGAGCATGCGGGCCCATCGGGCCGGTTGGTCCCGGACCGCACATCCCGGGTGCACCTTGCGGCTGCATACTAGCCGGGCCCATCATGCCTGCGGCTGGACCCATGGGATGCGGTCCAGGATGATGGGGCGAGCCAACCATGTGAGGACCAGGATGATGAGGATGAGGCGACGGTCCACCACCGCCCATGTGCGGATGAGGCGCGTGAGGGGAACCGGTCATCATACCGTGAGGTGGCATTGGGTGAGGACTCGGAGATGCTCCGTTCAAATGGGGCCCACCAGTGACACCGCCGTGAGGCGTCGGTGGACCCCCGTGGGTCGGCGTGGTAGCCGGTTGCGGTGGCGGTAAACTAGGCGGTCCAGTCGGTCCTGAGGCCGCTAGTGGCGGCAGCGGGCCATTCGCCATATTGTTTAGCTGCGTGAGCGAAGCCGCCGCCGACGCCATCGCCTGCAAAGGATTCGTGGCGCCGTTCGTCGTGTTGACACCTAGTCCGCTGCTGTTGATACCCTGACCAGTGTTGGTGTTGTTGTTGTTGTTGCTGTTGCCGTTGGTGGCGGAGCCAGCGGTGTTGGTGGCGTTGCTCACACCGCCGCCGAGAGATTGCAAGGAGGGCGGCAGCGGCGGCGAGCCGGCGGGGGGCGCTGCCGGGCCCCCGAGGCACCGGCCCGACGGACCGGGGGCGGTTACGCTGCTGGGCGCTACCGGCACGCCGGCGTGCAGTGGTATTCCACCTGGGGGGCGCTGTGCCACCCTTACCGGCATCACTCCCCCCTCCACGACGCCGTTCACCCTCTCCTCGAACTCCCGCCGGCTTGATGACTGGGCTACGAGCGCGGGAATCTCTTCTCTACTACTCGATGCCGTGCAACTTCTCCTTCGCTGATAGTCCCGCTCAGAGATTTAGGCGCGCTGCCACCGAATCCTTTGTTTTTTCCCTTTCAATTCCTTTTCTTCAAATTGATCGACGCTCGACGACTCGTGTACACGATCAACGATCGAATACCAATCTTATTTAGAAACTCATCGATCACTCTGAGTAATCACTACGAGCGGAGGTTCACCGTGGTCGATAAATCACTGCACTTCGCGCGTATACTTTTCCTGACGTGAACTCGAGCAACCACGTGCCCTTGGTACAGGCGCTTCGGACGGAAGGGACGGCCACCTCGTTTCAAGTTTCTCGATATACTCCTACTAGCTACACTTCGGATCAACATTCCTCGGACGAGTCCATCGTTGAACGCCAGTGTACTTTTCTTTCACTGGCAGGATTTGTTTTGTCTCGTAATTTTATCCAAGCCCACCCCCCTGGGTACACTCTTTCGATTCCTTCGATTCTGAATCGAGAAACGCACGGTAACGCGTGCCACCTGTTCGCGTCTATCTAATCACCTATGTGCGGTTCCACCACCGAAACTTCAACATCTATGAAATCTGCGCGGTAACGACGCGTATCCTCGTCGAGAGACACGGTGCACTATTTCAAGCAAGATATCGTCGACGCACTGGAAAACTCCGTTTACCAAGGAATCACACACTTTGGTCAGCCTGTTTCTTGCCGCACAATGACGTTGAACGCGAAATCTCGACGATCACGGTTGCTCGTTTCGCTCGACTAAACTATTCTACGGGCGAGTAACTAAGAGCAAGCAGCGGTAGTTAATGGCAGCGGTCAGCTAGGGATCCGCGGGGGCACGTGGCCGTCACGTCGTCGGCGTCGCGGTGCGCACCTACGTCGCGGACGAACGCTCCTCGTCTCCCGCCGCCCATCCTGCCGGCCTTCTTCTCCTCCTTCGGGCAACGCTTGCCACCGATTCCCCGCGGGAAGCTTAGCATCCCGTGTTGCGCGTTGATCTCTCAGTCGCCGCTTGCCGAGCCGAACGCTAAGCCCGCGTGAGCACGCTGCTGCTTTCCAACTGGATCGCCGCGTTCCCGCATAGTCCGCGCGACGAAAGCTTAATTACGAAAAAATCGAGCCCACTTTTCTCGTTGGTTACGCGAACGTCCCGGCCACGATTTCCACTCCTACAAACGAAATTGCCGCCAGACGACTATCACAGACTAAGAACACTGAAAGCACCGCGATCTCGCGCGCGCGCGCCCTCCTCTACACACGATTACCACCAAAGTGAACAAGAGAGGACGAAGAAGAAGACGATGAGGCTTGGAGGAAGGTACCGAGTGAAAGAGAGATAGACATAGGTGGAAGAGGAACGCGGGACAACACACGTAGCAGCGTGTCACGAAACAACAAACGACACCGTCCGCGAATGCCTGTACACTCGACGAGAGCAATCGCGTTACTGCGGAGCAGCAGGCGTGGAGGCGCTGCGGTCGCGTTCGAGCTTTCGAGGACAGACACGACGCTTTGGAAGGGGAGAGCCACGCGAGGACACCGGGTGGGGGAAAGTGAAGCGGAGCCACGGCGAAAGGAGCGTCGGAAGAGGGAGCAGGCTCACGCACGCTTCGAAAGGTGGGGAGCCACGTGAGCGTCCGATGCCCGATGCCCGACGATGCCCGCCGTGTCCACGGAACCGACGCGACCAGACGCGAGACACGACGTGCCACCCCTTGCTACCTTTCAACCCTTTTTTTCATCCCTCCCCTTCACCCTTGCTTCGAATTCTTCGGCCAACTCTCTTCAACTACCTCGCGAGACCCCTGATAATTTCCTTATTTTTATATCGAGAAATTATATTGAGAAATTATTGGAGTAAAAACTGTGTGGTAAATCTGAAAGAAAAGAAAACGATAGCTGCCCCAAGGGATAAGCTTTTCTATTTGGCAAACGATCGCCGATTGAACGAGAAGCCGTACGTTCGTCAAAGTCCACTAAAAGGCGGTTTCACTTTCCGTGTGATCCAAATCGCCGGTGGTCCCGAGAAAACTACGGAGGATTGATTCCGTTAAGATCACAGAAGCCCAGAAATCCGATTTATCGTGTTCGGGGTCAAGTTGAACGCATTTGTACGGGCGTGATGAAGAAGAATGGTCTACTGCCTTGACGCGCGGCGCGTGCGAAAACGACGACCATCGCTCCTTCAACGTTCCACCTTATCAACCTTTTTCTTTCTCCAAATTGAATCATTCGAATTTAATTTTCTGACTGCCCAAGGCTTTCGAAAAGTCTAAAATTATAATTCGATCGATCAAAGAATTAATAGCGTCAAAATTAGAGTACTTTCTCTTTGAAAGACTTGAAATTTTCGCAATAGACTTTCCCTGATTTTTTCCTCGCGACCATTTTTCTTCATCCGGTTAATCTTCCCTCCGGTGCAACCGACTCGCGGGACCGTAGGATATTTCCTTACCGGACAGAACGATATCGAGTCGATTACTTTTTAATCCTAAGTTACTTCTCCGGTAATCCGGTTATTAAGTCGTCCCGGTCTTTTTCGAAACTAGATTTACCAAAAAAATTGGCTCGTTGAAAGCTCAGGAATCCCTTCGTTCTCAGCCCTGAATTTTAATCGAATAATAATTTTAGTCGTAGGAAGTAGGATATTGCTCGCTGCTCATTTCATTCGGATCCATTGAAAATTCTTTTCAGAAGTGGAATAGAAGCTACTCCAGATCGTGAAGAGCGCGTGGAACAGGTTCGAAACGGTACAAAGCTAATAACGAGGCCCTAACCGCGACCTAAGGAACAGGACAGACTCAGGTAACTCGGTACTCCGGCTCGCAGGTAGAGTTTGAGACAACAGGTATCATTGTCCGAGGGCTAGCAGTGCCGCAAGGCGAACGTTTTACAAAGCACTGGAAATTCCAGGTAACCTCCCTCTGTCCTTTCACGGAAAATAAACTTTCCCTCCCCCTTGGTCGCCTCTTTTATCGAGAATCATCCAACCGGCTGATACACTTTCCACGATATACTCGTTTCCTTCTTCGTTTACTTTCTTCGATTCGCGTTACTCGTGCAGTTTCACTCGTATATTCCGCGAAGATGGCTAACTTCGACGAATAAGAGAAAAGGTACTTAGTCTAGTGTGTACCTTTTACTTTCAAGGTTCGTCATTGAAAGTTTTATTGTAGGTCCATTAATTTTCAGAGTACCGTTAGGTAGGGTCAGTCGTTTTTCGGGTCGTTTTCGAGTAGCCGAATTCAACTTCGTTTTGCAACTGAAAATATCATAGACTTCTAACGATATTTCCCATTTCTACGCGTGGGTGGTTTCTGGTCTACGCGACGACCTTCTAGCAGAGTTCGGTCCTCCGATAGACTACCAAGAATTCCCTGGGACCATTAATCTGCTGGCTGCGACACCCAGGGCCCGAGTCTCGTTCCCTTCCCCTTTTTTCCCTTCAGTCACCCCCTCCATTTCGGGCCAGGTAAGCGTGGCCCAGACCGAACCGTGGCATTGTCCGAGAAACGTTGGTGAAACGAGTCAGGTTGTTGCACCGATCAGAAACCACTATCGCGACCGGAAGCTACCACGATCTTCCAGTTAAACGAAGGTAGGGGGTTAATCGGTACGACGAGAGGGCGAGGTGCGTCGATTGTCCAGTAGAATACGAGAATAAATTAATGTCGTAAACGACTGCTTTCTGTCGTCTTTTTTAAAAAGAAAATAGGGGAATGGTTACGGTGAAAGTACTTGGGATTATTTAGGGTGATTTGGGTTACGGTTCGCTCAAGGGTACTTAAACCATTCAGGACAAGGGACAATGGATTTTCTAAGTAACATTGAACAGTACTTAGAACGGATTTAGTTTATGGGGAGTGATTTTATAGTACCTGAAGAAAACTGTACTTCAAGAAACTTAGATTCCTCGATAATGATAAATCAATCACTAATCAAGTGTCCCATCAAAATGTTCTAACGAAGGGTGGTAGTTGGACAATCCAAGCGATTTTCCATAGGACAGGTTGATCCTGACGGTCCATCAAGGAACGTTCAGGTGACTGGTGAAAAGTTCGTCAGGCTAGAGAAGAGAAGAGAAGGTAAGGCGAGCAGACCGACAGGCGTCGCGCAAGAAGGAACAATTAGAGGCCAAATAAAGACGAAGAAGCGAGTCACAGTCGAGCGGGTTCGCAACGAGCGTGTGTGTGATTTCGGTCACGCCGTGCGGCTGTACGTTGACCCCCGTAGAACCAGAGGAGAGAACGGAAAAAAAAACGAAGAAACACGGGTGCAGGCAGCTGAAAAAGGGAGAGAAAAAGACCGGCATCGCGGCGGAAGGGAGAGAAAGAGGGAACTGAAGAAAGGTGAAGTAAGAAGGGGGAATGTACGAAGGAACGAAGAGAGCATTTGCTCCTCACCGTTCCTTCTTTCTTCCTTCTCTGCACGGAGAGGGTTCCTCGACTCGCCTCGCGGTTCCAACTTGCTCGTTGCCACCACCGTGCGGAGAAGCCGAAGTAACCGAGCAAGATGGAACCACGATGGTGGAACGAGGAGAAACCATGCCGCGAAGAAGCTGGTAGGAAGAAAGAGAGCCAAGCCCGAGGAGAAACGTTCAGAAGGCTGAGAACTCACTCGGAGAGCAATCGAGGTGTACACCGCACTGATTCGCCCGATCCTGGGTCATTCGGACCCAGCCTTACATCCAATTCAAAACTGTCACGGTTTAGGTCAATTCAGAAATGTTAAGAAACTACCCCTTCGCGTCCAAAATGCAAATTCGTGAAGGGATAGGCGACGAAGGTTTCGATATCAAAGAATCATCGAACGGTATCGAAAACAGTGCAAAGTGGCTTCTTTAAAGTAGAGTATCCTGTCGCGGCCGATAAGTAATCTTGTACCGGAACACTGGAGGCGTGGATACGAGCCCTTTAAGGGCAGTTCACGTGTATTCGACATGCGTATTACGCGTGCTCCACGGGATTTGTCACGCGCCGACTGAACCTGCTCTCGCGATTACAAAGACCGCTCGAAACAGCTTTGTACTTCAATTTTAATTCTAATTCATGCGAACCACTTGTACCAATGTAATTTTCATCGAGAATAAATCTAAATGAACCTAAGATACAGGGTGTTAGGAATTTACTGAGTATCGGGTGCGAAGACGCAATCTCGAGTATCTGTGAATCAGATCGAATGGAAAGTTTGCTAGATCTCGATGAGACTGGTGTTCAGGCTGTGGCGACGATGTCGCCAAGGAGTTAGCGGACAGCTACGGGTTAGATTGAGGCTGATCGGGTAACCGCTAAGTATATCGAGCTTAGAGTACTTGAACGAGAGCCATCGATGGCCAAGGGTGCGATGCTTGTTTGCTCAATGACGCTGGGCTACCGAGGCGTTTACCGATCTACAGGTGACTTTCCTTATTCCTTCGGCCTGTCTCCTTTCCTTCGACGATTAATTGGCTTTTTAGGGCTGTTACGAACCGCAACGACGACTCGAGTACAAGACAAGCTTGTAGGGTGAAATTGAAATTCATTGTGCGTCGAGAAGAGAGCGTAAACGATGGGATAAGGAAAACGAGTTAACCTCAGTTTCCTCTGGAACTAAGTACCACTTTCTACTTTAATTCATCCTATTTTTCTTTATCTCCCAAGATAGAGGGATAAAGAAATTGTTTAGGGAGTGGAACGTATCGAAAGGACGTCGCGGAGGAGTAAACCGGTAATCTTTAGAGGTCATCTAATTATGCGGTAAAACAGCGTTAATTCGCGGTTAATTTCTTAACGAGATAACTCGTTGGCAAGGGAAAGGGTGGCGTGGTTAGAGCCTCTAATGGCTCCGCGTGGCTACGTCCGGCTAAATGAAAAAAAAAAAGGGAGAAAAAAATAAAACGACGAAAGTGGGAGAGGAGTGGATGAGAAAAGAAACGGTGAGAGCGGTGTGTTAATTAATTGGCGCGTAATTAAAAGCCACAGCGATACACCGTTAGTTAGCTTGTCCCCCGAGTCGATACACTTCAAAGAATCCGTGAAGCTGAAAGATATCGGTTTAGCAGGCGCTACCCCGCGACAAGTAGACTTCCTTTTTTCCTTCTGACACAGAACGTGAAACGGTGCGCGTGAAAAATCAGAGTAATTAAAAGAGAGAGGACAGGATGAAGATGATCGAGTGGACGGATCAAAGGGTGCGCGGATGATTCGAAAAAAATTTTGCCTCTGATCAAACACTCGACACTTTTCGCCGAGCACCGACTCTCTTTCCTGGACACAGTTTCATGTTCTGTTGCTTTTCGTCCTGAATGACGTTGCTCTTCGACGAACTTGAAACTTCGAGATCTGTATTTTCGATAATATTTGAAAATCGTACTAAATCACACTATATGTATTGAATTAACTAAACTTTGTACGAAATTGTTGAATAAATGAAAAATGAAAAAGTACAAAATGCGAGTCTCCAATTTTTTTTTTTCACTACCTATCAATGTTTGAGCACGGGTAGAAAAGTGGAAGGGTTGCAGAATCTTCCATCAAAATTCCCGTTGTTTCTTCCGCATCGATGCCCATCGAAATAATCGATGTTAAGCCGTGCGTGGGCGGGATAATCCGCGTTTACAAAGCGCGAAACCGCGCCGAACGTAAAGATCAAAATAATTAAATGTCGCGATGACGTTACATCCGTCGTCACAACGGTCCTCGAGACGATACTCCGAAGCGTTCTCTTCTCGGAGATCATTAAAGGGACGAGCCTGACGAAGATCCACTCGACAGAAGCACAGGTAAAGAAGTTTTTTCTTTTTTTTTTTTTTATTACAAATATAGAAGAGAATCGCTTCACACTTTCAATCGGGGTCGCTTGAAAAAAATTGATGCGGTACGATCAAGATAACGATTACGGATCGATAGGCGTGAAATATTCATTTTGATAAATGATTTCAAAGAGCGATGGTTGAACAAATTTTCGAACTCGAGTTTATTATTTGAAGAGGAAAAAATAGAATCGTTTGCGAGAGTAAAAGCGTGATTTAGAGTTTGGTCCAGGCGTCATAAATAAGATTCATAAGCCATGCTCGTATCTATTACTTTTACCGCTTCCCTCAGCGGCCGTACGAGAAAAAACGACGGAAAACACGTGGGATCGAGAATTCCTCCGCGGAAAAGTTTCCCCCTTGCTTTTCGCTCCACTTTTGGCCTCCGAGATTATTCCCAGCCGACTTTGAAAGTGGCTACGAAGTTTTTTACGAGCACGTCTTCGTCGATACTCTCAGCCGTCCCCTGTTTTCTAATTATACACCGATTCTAATTACATCGAACGGTTTGAAATCAAATACAAACTGTACGCGTTTAAATAATTTGTCGAATTAATTACCTTAGCTTAAAAAAACTAAATAAATCAATCTCATCTATGAACCCAGGACTCGTGTATTAAACATAAAGAATATCAATCAGGTACGATGCTACTGTTAAAGCATCCCTCGTGAAACAGTCAATTCATTTGTCTCGTCAAGGGAGGAGAACCTCTTGCAGTTTCCGAAATTCACAGCTGAGAACCACTGGCTACGCTCGGTCGAGTCTAGCGAGGGGGTGAGGAATGAAGGAAGGTGTGGGTAGGGGTGGGTAGACCAAGAGAGCAAGAGAAAGAGAAAAGGGAGAGAACGAAGCAGAGTGAGATAGAGATGGAAAGAGAGAGATAGAGCGAGAAATAGAGAGAAGGGTGCCGTAAGGGGGTTGGATGGAGTAAGAGGGGGGGGGAGCAGAGGTTGGTGCCAGGGTAGGTTTTGATCAATATCTCGCCCCCACCCCACACCACCCTTCGTGACGGTACACCATACCCCCACCAGAACCCCATCACCCGACCACCATGAATAACCAAGACCATATAGCGGCCTGCAGATTAAATACATCGTGGTACCATACGATCAAACCACCCTCGACCACCCAGCCCTCCCCCCCATCCCCCCTCTCCCTCTCATACGTGCCCACCGCCTTCACCGCCACCTCCACCCACCCTCGACAACCCAACGACCCTCCTCTTTAACAGCTACCACCGCTTTCAACGTCGTCGACCATCGTGTTCCCGTAAGAACGACTGATTTGCCGCACCACCGAGCCGAAAGGGGTGGCCGTGAAGCGACGCAAGAGAGGTGGCCAGGGTGTGGTGTGTCCTACGTCTACCTACGTACGCCTGTATACGTATGGATACGCACTAGCTACGGAAACCCCTTTTCCTCCGCATTCCGATCTCTCGCGTTTTCCCACGGGACTTTGCCCGTGCAAACGTACGCGGCAAGGACAACGTCCCTCGGGGGACAGTTTTGCGACACCAGCGGATCGCGAAACGACGGAAAAAGAACAATACCGTAGCCGACTCGTGTGTCCACGTGTTTCTAGAATACTATCCGTGACTACGAGAGGAACGTAATCGACACTTTTCAGCTGAATTTCGCGACCGACGTTCCGCGTGTCTTTGGTTAAAAATAATTATCAGTATCCGAGAATAATGAAATATAGAGAGTAGAAGGGTGGGGTAGCAGGCTCGGTGGTTTGCTATTAGGCGCTAATTTAGTTGTAAGCTGTAGGGTTGTCAGGAATGAAAGGGGTCCTCGGGGACGATGTTCACCCTGATGGAGAAGCAGTCCTCCTGTTTCTTTAAGGAACGCGCATTAAAAGGGGATGGAAACGGACACGAAAGTGTAAAGAAATTCTTGAAATTTGATCTCCACCGTCCCTCTTTCGTCCTGTCGACCCTTTTCTTTAAAAGTCACCACGACAAACTTTGCCAGCCTTATACAGACGTTATCTCGTGTACAAGTCGAACCTTTCGCTTCTTCACCCTCGACAAATTGTGCCCGGCTCTATTTCGAGTGAAATTCGAAAGGATGGGCACGATTAGTTTGACACCTTTGCGTCCCTAAACGCTACTCAACGTTGTACATGCGTTCGAGAATGTTTTAGCAACCGAAAGGGTTGCAGCGATGTAATCGCGTTCGAAAACCTGTAGCTTTGCTGCAAACCGATTCGTCGAGATACGGCAAGCGTACGTTGGCGCGCGTCAATGCTCGCGTATAAATCAAGTATATACAATGTACGACAAGTATTAGCATTTCAATGAACGGTAGCGAGCCGCGGTAACGTTAATTTATCAGACGACGATATGCTTTTTACTATAACGCGTTACGATATCGCGTTGCTCACGTGGCCCGGTGCGTTGTGTCGCCACTTGTGCGATAGCCGACCTCTTCGTTATCCACCGGTGGGTCGGTGCGTTAAGCGATAACGCTGTTTATTATCATCTTCGTAACTAATGCTCCGCAGTTAACCGTCTAATCTGCGACCAACGTATATCTCGCGCCATTAGAGAGCACATTTTGCAATGACCGCGCCATCTGTCACGAGTCTTTTTCAACGGGGAACGGTATCCTTATCGGTGATCCGTACGCGGACAGGTGTAAAACACACCTTACTTTTCGATCATTCTACAGAGAGTTCGAGTCCCTAGAATTAGAAGTATTCGCACCTGATCGTCCATGCCGGTGATTACCTACACCTTCTCATCGAGTAAAAGTTTCACGCGCGATAAAGTCCGCTGATCCGATTAACACGTAATTGGTTAAGTTTCGACACGGTGAGTTTCCATCGGGAATTAGCGACAACTTTACTTGCCATCGGTGTACCGCGCGTAAAAGCTCGACCTTGTTGGTCGTACGTTTCGTTAAAAATCATTAGGAACATGGTGGCGATGTTCGATATGACGAAGGGTAAAGAATTTTCACTGGGAACGGACGCGTCGACCAGTTCCCTTTTCATGCGTCGAGACGCGTCCACCTCGCTTTTCCAGCCGCGATCGCCTCCGCTTCTAAGCGAATCACCGCCGACCGGTCTGTACGCTGTTATTGAAATACTTGCTTAGTACTTATTCGTACAAGTATTCGCGATCGAGCAGAGATGATAGGGCGGGATGAATAATTCGAGGTATAGTTCGCGGGAAACTATCGAAAAATCGATCTAACCGAAGTAACCGAGCGATCACGGAACTCAAGAACCCGTACAACTTCAAAAGCGGCTGTTTGTGTTGTTTCTCGCAGATTAGCAAACAGGTTTCCTCTCTGACAGACCATCCTCGCCGCGGATCTCTGTTTATTCGATGCATCGGCCGTGTGCAAGAAAGGAATTACCGGATTCAATCGAACTTGCTACGTTTTCATCGATTAGTCTAAGATGCACCGTAGGAACCATCTCCCTCTGCTTCTTCCTCGCCAAGCAATCGCCAAGTTTCGCGGCATCGAGGAAGGCGGTCATTTGTATAAACAGCTACGTCATCATGGTTCCGAGAGTTCAAGCGACGTTCACGCTTCGAAAATAGTACCGTGCACGCTATGGATTCAATTATTCCCTAGTGACCGGCGTTCCTGTGCCAATCAAATGTCCCTAGGTATCGCGAGACGTCCTTCGGACACGCAACAACAACAGGTACGGAGAAATGACTGGGAACCACGTCAGGGTGTCGGTCTCTGGACTCTTTTGCAAAGTTAACCATTCGCTGATGAAATTGTTGGAAAACAGTGGGTGTATCTAGGAACGTAGAGGATGAAAAATGAAAGGAGCCCGTTTAATTTGGCAGAGTTTGAGCGAAAAGTGTTCACCAGGCAGCGTTTGGTAGCGGTAAAGCGAAGTCGTCGGTGACCGGCAACCCGAAGTGATCCATCGCTTTAAGGTTGAGCCCAGGTTCGTTGGTTCGCGGCTACGCCGTTGCTACTCAGGATTCCAGTTCCCTCCCCCTTCCCTCTGCCCCTCACCCAGGCCATCGTTCGTTCCAGCTCGGATTCCCGCACCCTCCGGCAAACCCAACCCAACGCGCCGGGAACCTGTTCCGCCCTTCCTCTCTCTTGT